AGAGAGACAGGGGGGGGGACAAATGTTAACACATGTGTAGGAAAACTGAAAGAGGAAGAATAATGTGCGAGATTAATCGGGGTGGGATGAGGTTCCACAAACAAACAAAAGTAATAAAAATCCCCAGTTGAAAAGATACGTGTTCAAATTTTATTTTTCAGTCGAATCACAGTGCAGACGAACACCAAAGTGATACCAAACAGTTCCCATTTTCTCTATTGCTTTCAGTGACACAACTTAAAGTGCAATGGTATTATTTACATGAGTTATAACAGATAACCCTTTCACCCAAACGACAGCTGGCGTGTGCACAGTTTAAGGTTCCGTAACAATGCACACATGATTCATTTAACAGTAACACTTTCATATCTTTTTAGAATGATATGTTATTACATTTTTTATATGTACATTTAACTAAGATCTTTAGTTATTCGTAAAGCGGTCTCTGCATAACACTTCCGTGTCAGTTTATCTTTTGGGGTGAATTTTCAATAAATGGCAATTTGTTTATTTTTCTGACAGGTTTATGCTTTTTGCTAGTCAACATGTCTATTTTTCTATCTTTTTTAGTCTTGCTGTGCATCTGTCCGCTTGCCCAGCTATGTCTCAACTATGCACTATTTAAGTGTTGTTTGACAATACATTTCTGTCCAAATTTTTAAAAAAAGCTTGTTCGCTTTGACTTGATAGAAGAAGTTTTGCTTTTGTTCACGTGATGTTGACAACCACTACCATGACGACGCCATTGATGATGGTGACGATGAGGATGATGGTGATGTTGAGGATGATGATGATGATGATGATGATGATGATGATGATGATGATGATGATGATGATGATGATCATGATGATGATGATGATCATGAATATGATGATCATGATGATGATCATGATGATGATAATGATCTTGATGATGATCTGACAATCATTTTAAACACAAACATAACCATTTTACTCGGTAACAACAATTATATTGCATTGACAAGTAACGTGAGAGTACAATGATACAGAAATAAGTAAATCAACAAGTTGTGTTTTTCAAAAACTTTCTTATCTTATCAACGAATCCCCACCCCCCCCCTTACAACAACACGCTGCCATGACCCCTTTATTTACATTGTTCTGAAAAGACGGTTTGATATAAACCGTCGAAGGTGTAAAATATTTTCTAGATGAATTTTCTTTTTCAAGTGCTACACCCGCTTTGCTGAATTTCCTTTCTTTGATTAAAACAAAATAAAAGTGAGTGATTGGCAGGAGCCCTGGTGCTGTTGCCCCTTTTGTTCCTTCAAACATATTGCTTCATTTCTGCATCAAGAGTTAGGACTGAATTGTACGGGACACCGTACTTTGAGCAATACGTTTGAAATAACCCCTTTAGAAGGTTTAAAAAATGTAGTCACAGATACTTTGTCATTCACCAGAACAAGAGAATGCCGCGTCGATGGGGTTGGGCAATATAAATATGATCTATGAGGTTACCCTTTACTGGGCTCAATTCACCCTCTGATGGGGGTGCTTCTCACAAAACACAACCTCTAAGGCGAGGCGGTTTCATCTTTTCACGCACTTACAGTATCTACTGTCCTCTTCATTTGTGGGGGTCTGTGTTGTGAAGGCCATGTCTATAAAAAGAATAACAGGCAGCTACACACGGTGGATCCCACGTTGAAGCACGTTTTTCCTACCGAGTCAAAATAAGTTTTAAAAGTAAATAAACGTATCATAGAAGCTCACATTGAAGCACTTATTTTTACCTAGTAGGAATGAACACAAACAAACAATTACACATATAATAGATGTCACACAGTATACATCCATAAGGCGAGAGGGTGGGAGTTTGAGGTAGATAGAGCATAGCATTACGTCACAAATACCTTGTTTACAAACTCTATCACATTAAACATTTCAGTACGGCATTTCAAATATTCCAGTAATGAATAATCAAATGTTTGATAAAATGGACAATAATCAAAATATCAGAAAGGTAACAACAAGACCAAGGCAACACATGTTATGTTCACTTTAGAATATAACAAAATTATTTGCAAGTGTTTTACACAGCCATCTCACACTTCCACATCTTTTTGAAAGGAAGCTCATTTGGGTCACCTTGGCTGAGTGTGGTACATCATCCCATCGGAAAGATGGACACAATCCATATGTAACATTCATTCTCTCTTGGGACTAGAACTCACTTCTCCTGAATACAAGGCAAAGATTCTGACCACTACACAGTAGACACCAGTAAATTATGACAACAGAAAGGACAGAAGCATATAGTGCCACAGCATTAAGTCACAAAGGCCGTCACTGATCATTTATGTCTCTACCCAGTTTAAGAGATCAGTCTCCCTTAATTGTTTCAGTGTCAAGCCTATTCTAGAACTTTATTTCATCTCAACAACCCCTGAAGATAAGGAAGTAAAAGATCTTTTGTGGTGTAAATATACATGTTTTCCGTTATTAGGTTAGAATTTCCAATTCCCTGCCGTGTCCAAGATAAGATTTGAGAAGCTATAAACTAACCTTAAAGTGATATTGTTCGCTTCTACGCAATTCTATAACCCACTGACCAAGATCTACATCTTCTGCAAACGCCAAGCCGCTTTAGAAAAAGTAAGAAACCGATTTAAGCAACACAGTGCGACCACTAATCTCAGTGAAAAACGGTGGGTAATTTCACGATCACAATAATTTTATGGGCATGCTAAGACAATTCTTTAGGGTGAAGTACCACGAGGGAGAATAAGAGGCAAGTAGACAAAAAGACGGGAGGACAATTTGTCAAATCGGACAGTCTGGGAATATTGAGGAATACAGATGGTTGCCAAATATTATGTGGTTCCTGAATGGTTGAAAACTGCAGGATAAGGTGGAGTTGAAACACACTCTTTCATGAAGAGAGTAAGAAGCGATTTGATTATTCGTTGAGAAAAGGATACGATTCCCTTGCATCATCATTAAACAAACTACTCGCATACCCTCAACCTTAACCCAAAACTATATCCATATCCTTCATCAATCACTGAGTCATTGGGAAGTTTTCAAGTCTCACGTGACTGGACGTCAAACTCAGAGGCCTCAGCCCTTTGAATAAACGTACCTTTTTGAAAAGTGTTTTACTAATAGTTTTTTATGTTACTTTTCCAAAGACACGATAAAGTGCCAACAAGACTGTTGCGGGATGCAAGCACGAAAAGAAACCCAACCACAGCCTCCAAAACTACGCCTCAATAAACACAGTTTAGAACATTTACCAAGCGAGCTGTTTTGACCGCGCCTGTAAGGTCCGATCTTGACTGAATGGAGTATCGCATCTCAGAAAAAACAGGACGAGATTACTATAAAATATAATCTCCAGCCAGGGAATTGAGTCACGTATTTTGTTTACACCCCAGATATTGGTCACGGCTTTTGAAAATAAAATGAGTTCAGTGATCAGTTAAACCTTTACTGTCCTTTGCTCATGAGTGATTCCCGACAACTTTCTATCCTGAACGTGACAACCGGGTTCGACAATGATATGGTCTGTGATTTTTTATGGGCCGTTTTCTTAAAAAATCTACAAATGTCTCTGACTTCGTTCCAAATCAGACGCCGTTGATTTTTCTGTAGCTATCTTTGAGAACCACGTGGTCCGAGCCGTCGTAAAAAACACCTGAATGCCCACAACCTGATTTTCCAGAAGATCGGACAATATCATTACGGTTATTCGAATTCCCCACCAACAGAAATCCGTTCTCTTCACTGGAACCAGGTCTGGAGTCTCGATGCACACAGGGCTGATAATGACGCCTTTTTCCCGATATGAAAATATTCCGACCTCCTCTGACGTCATCCCCTGTGCTATTGTCCTTCTTTGTATCTCCATTCTGTCTCCTAGCTTGAGCCGAAGCCTTCAAGGGGAGATGACTCTCTCCATCATAGTCATTCTTACTCAAGCCGGAAGTGTCAAAAGTGGGAGCGCTCCGGGAGTGGGCGTGTCCGTTCCTCCACATCGAATGGCGCGTGTCTGTCTCAGCGGTCGGTTTGCTGTGCACGTGGTGACGATTGAGGGTGCGGGTGGCGTAGAAGTTAGCGGTGGCGTCGTGCACATTGTGGTCGCCGAGTCGCCACCGCATGGCAGCGGTTCGGTATTTGGCCTTGCGGTGACGGCTCCAGGGCCAACAGTGACAGGACTGCTGCAGGCTACGGAGGTCAGCCTGGGGAGAGAGACAATGAAAACCGTAAGTTAGATCATCATATCTAGTGGCATTTTAGTACAAAGGTTATAATCCAAAAAACTCATATTTAGTGACATTTGCACTGTGAAAATGGATGATTACCA